GAAGTTTTCCACAGCATCCATCAAAGTGGGGTAGGAATCATACTTCCACCTTTTTCTGTTGTAGTTTGTTTGGATGCAATACACCCAGAGCCCCCTGGCCCAGCAGTCATTCAGCACCTCCATGGAGTCATCAAAGATGACCTCGACCCTGTGCTGCTGGCACCATTCACCCTTGCCCCCTGACTTGTCCCGGCTCCTTGTAAAGGTAACACTGGCAAAGCGGAATTTCAATTCAGCAAGCTTTTTTCTCACTTGCTGTTCCCTTGCAGGGCCACAGTAGGACACCATGTGGACTGTATACCCAGCAAGGTCCAGCTTCTCCAAGGCATTGATGGAGCTGGAGGGCACCACATCATTGCAGCAAATGACATTGTGCCAGTCCACTGCCACACTGGCTTTGGGGGCGTTTTTCAGCCGCCACATTGGGGGTTCCCTCCTTTCATCAAGGAGGGCTTTTCTCTTTGTTGCAGGGGTTGTGGCCGTGTTTGTTCTTGCCCTTTTTTCAAGGGTAGGCTGGGCTTGCCTCTCAGGGCTGAACACACTTACCCTTTTACAAAGGGTGGCTTTGCTTGCCTGGGGCTTGGCTGCAGGGGTGCTGGAGCTTTCTGTTTCTGAGGAGGAGGTGCCCCAGTCAACAGAGTCCTCCAAAGGGGACTCATCTGCAACAAGCTCTTTGCTTTTTTGGGCAGGGCTGGGGCCAAGGACCAGGGCCTCTTGCTGTTGGTCTTTGCCTGCTTGTTCTTTGAAGGGGCCTTGCCAAGAGCCTCACTTGTTGGCTCCTTGTCTTGAGCTTGCTGCTCTTTTGTTTCTTCCCTTTTATCAAGGGGGCTAGGCTCTGCAGGCTTTTCTTCTTCCCTTTTGACAAGGGTGGATGGTGCTGGCTGTTCCCCTTCCCTTTTATCAAGGGTGGGCTCTGCAGGCTTTTCTTCTTCCCTTTCAAGAAAGGTGCTGGATGCAGCTGGCTGCCCCTCTTCCCTTTTAACAAGGGTGGGCTCTGCAGGCTTCTCTTCTTCCCTTTTATCAAGGGTGCTTGTCTCTGCAGGCTTCTCTTCTTCCCTTTTAGCAAGGGAGCTGGGCTGCCCCTCTTCCCTTTTATCAAGGGTGCTGGGCCCTGCAGGCTTCTCTTCTTCCCTTTTTGCAAGGGAGCTGGGTGCAGATTGTTCTTGCTCTTCTTGCCTGGCCTTTTCCTCAGCCTCAGCTTTTTCTCTGGCTACTCTTTCTTCGCCCTTTTTCTTGAACTTTTCTGCTCTTGCCCTGCTCACTGTGCCAGTGCCTGAGGGCCTGCCTTTGTTGTTCCATGTGTAGCCATGCCATGTGTAGCCAGGCATTGGCCTTTTACCAAGGCTGGTCCTTTTACCAAGGACAGCAAAAAACTAGCAAACACACAAGCTTGAGCATATGCAAATGGCTGCAGGGTCTTTGGCTCAAGGATGTGGCATCACTGCCCAAGAAAAAACATGTTGACAGGGAACCCTCAAAAATGACAGGTGAACATGTGTTTGGGCATCATTAGAAGGCAGTCCATTTAAACTACCCTTGGGGCACAAACAAAAAACAACATATGTGTCTCACCCTGGGGGGGGGGGGGGGAGGGGGCAACACTGTTTTTGACACCAAGCTGCTGTGCTCTGCCCCTTTTACCAAGGGTATAGCTGTACAGGTAACCCTTCCCTTTTACCAAGGGTGATGCCATTAAGACTTTCACATTGTCACCTTTTAGCAAGGGTGTGTTTTGTAGAGGCTTGCCCTCAACTCCAGAGCTTCTTCCTTTGTGAGGTGCTCCTCTTGCAACTGCTGCTTGATGTTCTGCAAGATCTCTTTGTACTTTGGATGGTTCCTTTTTGTTGTTTCCACAACTAGTTTTGGCTTCCCCTTTGGGTCTGTAGTGCCTGTTATGTAAGCTCTCCATGGTGGCTTTGCAGTTTGGGTGACATAGAGCTTTGCCCATGGCTTTCTTACAGCTGCACCTTTTACCAAGGGCTTTGCACCTTTTACCAATGGCTTTTTCTTTCTGGAGCCTTTCCCTTTTACCAAGGGTTTTGTGGAAGAACTTGCTTTGTGGTTCCTTGCTTTGGTCTTTGCCTTTTTGGCCTTGCCAATGCCCAAGGCATCTTTTAACCTTTGTTTACCCTCTTCTGTGGCTGCTGGTTGTGTTGCTAAGCTGCCTTTCCTCCTCCTTTTGAAAGAGGGTGGCTGCTGTAGGGTTGCATCATTCCCCCCCTTGTCCACCCCATCCCCTTTTACCAAGGGGCTTTGGCTTTTGTCAGGCGTTTGTAAGGCCAATGGAAAGCCTTCAGAATCAACAGTTGCCTCAGAAACCTCTTTCTTGAGCTTTCTGGCGTCTTCTGGCCTTTCAGGAAGGGGTGTGTGTGATGCTTCCCTTTCAGCAAGGGCGGGGTCTGCTTTTTCACTTTCAACAAGGGTGGGGTTTCCTTTTTCCCTTTCAGCAAGGGTGGGGTCTGCTGCCACTTGCTGTTTCTGCTGGATCATCTTCACAACTTCCTGCAACTGCAGGAATTCAGCCCCAGTCAGCTTGGAGGCACATGCTTGCATCTCATTTTGCCCCAGGAGCCGCCTCATGTGGGACAGGAGGATTGTTATTCGCTCCACCTTCAGCCCCACCCACACTGATCCATTCCATTTGGTGCTGTTCAAGGAGGGCTCACCCAGCAAGACTTGAAACATAGCTTGCCTGAGGCAAGCCCCATGAATCTCACATATGGGTGACAGTTCAACCAGCCCTTTTAGCAAGGGCAAGCAGACCCACAGGCCTTTTGGGTCACATGCCTGTGACCTAGAGATTTTTTCATAGCTGCCAAGATCTTGAATCAAGCCTGAGTGCTTGGAAATCTCCTTGAGGAGCAGTCCTGGGTCTATGTGAGGTTTGGGGGTGTGCCTGGCCCCACCTTTGCCAACACTCATGACCCTTTTACCAAGGGCACTAGTGACCTTTTACCAAGGGCACTATACCTTTTACCAAGGGCGCTGGCAAGCAATCCCTTTTATCAAGGGTTGCCCATGTGCACAAGCATTCTAGGATTTGAGCCCAAGTTCCAGAGGCACAGGACCCAAACTCACATCAATAGAATTGTCAAAAAAAAATCAATAGAAAGCAAGAAGAAAATGACAAATTAATATCAACAGAATTTGGGAAAACACAACATACTTCAAATATTGATTTAATCAATAGAAACGACAAAAATCAATATCAATTCAGAACATGAACTTCCCATTGATTTAAATCAATAGCCGATGCCCAGGGGTGCTCTCCATGCTCGCATTGGTTCGCCACCTGCCCAGCGTGAGGACCAGGGCCCTTCCTTCTACACTCATGCCTTGGCTGAAATCCCTGCGGACCTTGCCCATGCCGCCCTCCGGGCCGTGCCCTGGCCTGCTACCACCCGGCTACCCAGGTACGGCGGCGGGGATGTCCACCTGTGGACTGATGGCAGTGTCTACTTGCCTCACCACTTGCTCTTCGCTGCTGCGGGCTTTGCTGTTGTGAGTGCCTCTGCTGGTGTGTGCGCTTCTGGTCCTGTTCCGGGCCCCCTGGCGGACAACTACCGTGCTGAGGTCTACGCCATCTTGCGTGCCGCTCAGCTTGCTCGCGGTCGGCTCACTGTTCACACCGACTCCCAAGCTGCGGTCAGCGCCTGGCATGGTTTTCACCTGAGGGGGTGTGTCCCTCCCAATGCTGCGGCGGCTGACCTCTGGCTGGGCCACCTGCCTCTCGACCAGTGCCCTGGCTCGGTTGAGCTCATGCATGCGCGTTGTAACCATGCGGCTGACCGCGCGGCCAAGCGGGCGGCGCGTGCTTCCCTTGCCCTTCCTGTCTGTCGCATGTCTGCCTTGTTTTTCTCTGCCTACCGGCGCCATCGCTGGCTCCAGCAGCTCTTCCTTGCCTTGGCGGCCACCCATGTTCCTCCTCCGCCCCCTGCGCCCCCTGATCCCGAGGTGCCCCCCCCTGAGGCCCCCGTTGCCCTAGGGTTAGATGTAGAGACTGAGCCTTGCCATGGCTCGCCTGTGCTGCATGTCGAGAAGCTCCTCGCCAAGCCGCTGGACTGGCCTCATGGCTCGCTGCAGTGGTGGGCCTGGAACAAGGCCTTGAGCTCCGCTACGTGGACGGTTCGATGCGGGGACTTCCAGCCTGGTCTGGAGGCTGCACTGCTCTTCTGGCGGCGCAGCCCTGGCATTGTCAGGTATGCTGGCGGTGCTGCCACGGCCCGTGGCCTCTTGGTGCACTTCAAGGCCGTGAGGAAGTGCATCGCCCGGCGCAACCCGGACCCCACTTTTGGGGGCCGCGGCTCGGCCGCTATGCTGGGGTCACCTGGCCACGTGGTGCTTGGCCTGGCGTCTACCTCCAGCGCACTGACGCGGAGCACAAGTGGCTTCAGCGGGTCCTACTCCGGGCCTCCCGCCTCGGCAGAGTACCCAGAGACTGGGAATTCTCGCTGGGCGCTGTTGCGTGATGGAGGCCCTGCAGCCCTGGGCTTCCTGTGCTGGGGTCGCCTCGTGACCCTGGCCTACAGTCTGCTACTTCCGGAACTATGTGCACGCCCCGCTCCCCCTTCCGGGGTGGCTGGTGGGCCGGGCTTCGACTTTGAGATGTGTCCACCAGTGGACTGGGGGTCCCACCCCCTTTCCACTGGTGGTTGGCCTCTTGTTTCACACCCCCAGTTGAGTCTCTCCTGGGGGTCTGTGTGCGGGGCTCCTGCCCCACTTTTCACCGGTAGTAGGGCGGCATGCCCTACGACCCACGCGCGACAGACATTCGTGCGTCACGAGCCAAAAGGGTACCCTTATTCTAAGCTCTCTACTGGAGGACCTAGGATCACTAGCCAGTGGCTACACCGCCACATACTGCATGACATATTTTCCTGGAGTGATTGTCATTGTCAGGTTTGTTGTTTAACTTACAACATATTTGGAAAGTAATAAACTTGTTTGGATTTCCAACGTCCACTGTTGCCAGTTGGTCCTTCCAATCGTATGCTTGGCAGGTCTTTCATATCACGCAGCACCTGTGATGTTGCCCTCCATCATGGAGGACCGTAAGACCGGGGGCTGTTGAGCATGTCGTTGGGCTTTTGGGATGCCTCTCGAAGGGGAGAAGTAGGCAGGTTTCCGTTGCCTCCATTTGAAGAATTTGATTTGATTTTCCCCTGTTGGTTTTAGAGGCAATCCCGGCTTCCTATTATATCATTCAACAGGCTGGCTTGCGTAAAAACTGGCCTCGCTGTTGTCCAATCGAGCTTTTGCGGCAAGAGAAGGTCCCAGTGCTGCCATGAACCAACTGCCGAGCCGCTGGCGTGCAAACTTTTCTCTTGCTTAAGGACTCCAGACTGCAAGCTGCAACATGAGCCGGGTGTTTTACCCGGACGACGTCGAGGGTTTCATAGCACAGGTCTCATTGGATGGTTCTGAGGTGCCGAAGGTACGGAGGTTTTCCAAGCTCGACTTCAGGTTGGACGACCAGCAGTTTTTTGAGGCCCAAGCCATTCTGCTGTTTCATGGCTCATATGTCCATATTTCCCCTGGTGTGTTGGGGGCTGATCAAATCGTTACACTGTTAATATCAACTTGGTTTGACATGCGTTCCCCCTTGGAAGACATGGCTTGTCACCCAATACGGACCGTTTTGTGGCACCCTTTAACACGATTTATCCCAAGGCAGCTTCGCCGGAAGGGCGATTTGCGGCCGGCTGAGCAAGAGCTTTTGGTGGTTGCCCTCGCAACCTGGAACCAATCTCACGGTCGGGACTGTAGAGGAAGCAGGTCTCGCCTCTTTGACGCCCCTGAAAGTGCTTGAGCCACAAAATATACACTTCCACCTTTTTTTTGTTGTGTGCCTTGCTTGAGTATTTTTTCAGGGCAGACCCCACCAACCTCGGGGTTTCGGCTAGCTTCCAGAGTTTGAGCTGGGGCGGCTCAGCTCGAGCTCCCTCGCCTTACGAGGAGTTCAAAACGGATCAGTACCATGTCTCCTGGGTGCCGGGCATTTTCCTGCTCTGCAAGGGCGCCTTTACGGTGCCCGGGGGCTACGCCTTGCACCGCTTCGGGTGCAAGACCTGCGCCTCGACACACACGAGGGATGGGTCCAATGGAAAAAAACGTGGCATGGCGTGAGGGGTGCGGGTTCTCCAGGTTTGGATTCCGGTGGTTTCCGTTGTGTTTTCTTTCTTTCTTTCTTTCTTTCTTTCTTTCTTTCTTTCTTTCTTTCTTTCTTTCTTTCTTTCTTTTTAACACCATTGAAGCCGCCCGTTTTGTGCCTGATTTGTTTTCATTTTTCCGGGGAGGGGGGACGGCGGAAAGCCAAATGCTGGGTGAAGCCCAGGGTCAAGCCCCCACTTGAGCAGTTCTAAGATGGTTCTAAAGGTCCATGTTCTAAATTGTAGGCCTTACCTTTTGTCAGCTGGATCGCTTGGCAAAGCGGTCTGCTCAGCTTCCTCTTCAGTTGGGCTTGCAGCTCCTTGCGAGTCCTCTGGCTCGCTTATCCTGCTCATCTGACCTTTGCTCGCTCCTTGTCGGGGTTGTTTGTTTGAGATAACAAGCACGACGCGGAACCTGCGAGGGTGTCATCCACGGCTTCGAAATCATTCCTCCTGTCACAGAGCACCTGCAGCGCCTCATGATGTTTGACCACGAGAATGGCGTCTCGCAGCCTCCGGGGCCAAAAAAAACAACGCCAGAGATTGCCTTAAGACCGCCATGCCAATCTCTTCCTTTGTGGCCACCAACTTCCGGATCTCTTTGCCCAGCGATTCAACGTCTGCCTCGCGCTTTTGCGCGCGACCTCGGCCCCATGGTGAAACCATTGCAAAGGCTCAGGGCATTCATCTTTGGATGGGCGAACTCCTGCACTACCTTAGAAACCCTGGACTGATGATTCCCCTGTAAATACCAACAAACCTTTGGCGTTCCCCTGGTGTTAAAGTGCTTCGAAATTGATTTCCCAGCCATCCGGCGCATTGCACCTGCCACTGGCGCCCTCCGATTCAGCCATTGGCGGCCGGGGGCCAAGGAATCAGCCCCCCCTACCAGGCAGAACCTGCGAAGATGGCGAATCGGTGGTGATGAATTAAAAACAGAATATACATAGAACAAATACAACAATAATTAAACATAGATAAAATACAACAAAATACAAAATTAGAATTAAACATAGAAAACACATACAACAAGAGATAATGAATGGTTGTAAGTGCAGAGAATAGCCTTCTTGTGCCTGGAAAGCTGCTTTCCAAGGATGGTGGTGTGCATTTTGTGCCAGTAAAGCTGCTTTCCAAGGATGGCGGTTCCCCAAAAGTGAAGGATCCCCTCATGAATGGGACAACCCCCTGTCTTCAACCCGAGGTTTCTTAATCCTGGGTCAACAGGCGACAAGCGGGAGGATCCCTAGGTTTGAAGCCCGTTTGCGCCATCACACCTGAGCTTTTCCTTGGAGGGTCCCGTTAACTTTTGCAACCTCAAACATCAACTCATCAACTACCCCCAAGAGTGCGCAAGTCTGCCCCTAAAAGGTTTGCAACGACAACATGCTTTTTGCAAGTCTGCGCCCAAAAGTTTGCAACTACCCCAAACGTGTTGTTTTGCAACTACCCCAACCAGTTTGCAAGTCTATCCGCAAAGTTTGCAACTACCCCAAACATGGATTTTTGGCAACTTCCCCAACAACTGCGCAAGTCTACCCCCATGTTTTTGGCAACTACCCCACAAATGGAACGGAGGGGACCCGAGGCCTGCGCGCCGGCTCGCTGCTGATTCTGGCCGCCTCGCTGGTCTACCCTTGGGCGCCCAGTTTGTGGCTACTCGCGGCGCTGCAGCTTGAATTGCTATTTGGTATATCTTCTTTGGAGTTATCAATCTGCTTAGTGGTTTTCCGACCAATGGCCATCCAGTAAGCAAAAATCACAAACAAACACCTTTTGTTCAACCCCATATGTCTATTTCGGAGTTGGTACGGGGGTTCCCCTAGTTCGAAACGCATACCCGGTGGCATACCCATTGGATCTTGTCTTGAACCTGCTTAGGAGAAATGACCCCCACCCAAAAACATCTCTTCCCAGCGACCAGTACCAAATTTTCGGGCCAGTGGTGGCCGCTTCAAACGCCGCGAGCCGCAGCGGTGGAGTCGCTCAGCCGCGGCTGAGGCACGGCCTTTACGGCGCGGCCTACGACTTGAGCGGCCTGGGGCCCGTCATCGTCTTCGCCACGACGCCTGGACAAAGCCCTAAGGGGCAAGGGGAGGGAGGGGGAGGGCAGGGGAGGGCAGTGTGGGAGGGCAGTGTGGGAGGGCAGGGGGTGGGGAGGGCAGGGGGTGGGGAGGGCAGGGGGGTGGGAAGGGCAGGGTGGGGGTGGGGGAGGGTGGGGGTTTGAAACATGGCGATGAGTTTTTTCAACTGGGGAATTTGTGGTGGACATGGTGTACTTTCACTTTCCTTAAGCCCCCTGGAGAAAACAGAATTGTCTCTGGTAGTGATAGATTCCATCAAAAACCAACAGGGGAAAATATAATTCTTCAGCAAATGGAAGTTTGGCTCAGGATTCATGTCCACCAGCCACTTCGAGGGGGTTCCCAATTGAAGTTCATGGTCACATGGTCTCAAGAACAAGGCCAGATTCACCCGCTGACTAGGGGATTGGAGGGAACACTACCTTCAGCGTTGCAGGATCCTGTGCAATGTTTTTTTTTTTTTTGAGTATCCATTGTCGGAACCCTGTTGAAGCATCGACATTGTTGAGGTTACAACGCTTATTCCCAAACACTCCATTGCAATCTTTGCTCACATTTATCCTGGGGTCTTAAATGTTAGGTATATTCCATAAACTCTGCTGTCCATGTTTTTCCCCAAGAATTCCAGAATTTTGCCGAGGGGTTGCCGCGGCCCAGCGGTGGCTTTTCGCCGCTTTCGCAGCTCACGCGCGAAAGCTGCGGGGATCTGAGGACGTGGTTCGACAGCCACGCGGCCCTGGCCATCGCCCTGCTGACAACTGCCTTCAGCTCCTCGGCCGAGACGCGGCTGGCTGCGGGCGGCCCCGGAAGACAGTTTGTCGAAAACGCCAGCTTGGTCACGGAGCAAATGGCGCGAATTACTGTGCGGATAAGCAAATGTTTGGAGCCGGGGGCGGAGGGCATCAATTAGTGAAAAGAGGGTCTAAAAGAGATTGTTTGTAACATGATTAAGTACAGGATAACAGTTGACCTACTAGTTGGGTTTTTGCAGGTAGACAATATGGATTGCCCCCACTAGTTGGTTTTTGCAAAACAAAACAAAAACGTTTTTTGCGTGGCCTGCATGGGGTTTGCTTGGGCTTCCCACCTTTTCGGCCAGGGCTCCTGTTCTCCAATGAGCCACAATCAAAACCCGGGTAAGTGAAGGTTGGTAAGGGACAATCCCAACCATAAATAGCTGCGGCCGCCTTCTGAATTCTTCACATGCTTCTGGGAAGACCATTTCAATACCGGGTTTTATGATTCAAATGGCCGAGGCGTCTCGGGGATGGTCTTCCCGCCGCTCTTCGCGGCGCTGATCGCGCGCTTCGGGTGGCGCCACGCCTCGCTGGCGATCCCAGTGGTCATGGCGCTGGTGGTGGTGCCCTTGTGCGCCGAAGCGGCAGGTGGAAACTTTCGGAGGGCCCTGGGTTTTTCTCCGGTCCCCCAGCTAGGTGCCCGACCTCTCACCGTTTCTTTTTGGGGGGGAGGGAAAGCCCCTACTAAAATAGACTACGGAAAAAGTTGGTACCAACTTATTCTAACCTCTCGTGGTTTCCGTTCTTCGAGAATCCCCAACTCATTCCCAACCGATTTCGCACCAGCAGGTTATTTTGTGGGGAACTGAGGGGGACTGACTCACTTCCTGGAGTTGCGCTTTGTACTTGTTTGAACGGCCATATTCTAGAGGGAACCAAGAAGGTTGGTTACTTTTGTTGGCCATTTGGAGTCTCAAGATTTCTGACTTTGCATTTGGAGCCCGAAAAAGCCCTGTATTCCCTCAAAAGGGCCTTTAAGATCAACTGAGGGGCCTGAGTATTTGGTCTAATTGTGATTGCTCCTAACGAGGACGTCGGATTCGTTGGCCTGAAAGACATACCTGTCTTCCGACTGCCAAAAGCCAATTCCAAGCCAAGCTTCGAAGCTGAAGCAAAGAGGCCTGGCTGTGTCATTCTAGGGGACCCCCCATCATGTTTTTGTTCCTTTGGGTTTCCCCCAAAAAAACACAAGATACAACTGGGGGGGGGGGGTAGTTGGTAACCACTCCAACAAAAAGACGCACGACCCGCGACCCGTTTCTTTGGCAGAAGGTCCCAGAGTCGCCAGGTGGTTTGGATGGTTCAATTCGAGGGTAGCTGATAATTCCATATTGTTCTATTTTTCCAAATGGGATCCCAAGAGGCGATGTTTTTTTCTAGACCCCGACACCCAGATTCCATTTTTCTGCCATGGTCACTTGTAACTGGAGGCCTTGGCTGGCTTCGGATCGAATTGGGAAACATTGATTTGGAGACAAAGCAAACTGGTTTGCTTTAACCACCCGTTTGCTTCTCTTAGAATCAATTGAAGAAACTCGGAACTCCCAGCAATCATTTTTTTTGAGCCACTCCACCGGGTGATTGGTTGCCCTGGGCCGGTTACAAAGAAGGATTGACAAGCATGGTTGGAAGTTCCCGCTGGAACTTCATTTAAACCAACTCCTTTTGAGAAACCAATCCTCACAACTAGGTCTTCATAAGACAACTACACATTGTGTTTGCTTTCAATCGTTCAGACACACCCAAATGCATACTTTTGCAAACAAAAAAGAACATGTGTATTCATATGTATATACATGTTACATCTATGCCATATATCTGTATGGCTGTGGGTCAAGACCCTATACCCAGGGTGAACATCAACACAGGCGGCAAATGGATGTTCATCCACCCAAAAATGGAGCCATAGGTTATGCTCCATGGCCATATGTGAACAAATGACAGAACACGACTCCTAGGTCCCCCAGTAGTGCCCTTTTCCCCTTTTTGGGGGGAGGGTTTTTTTGCTAAGATAGACTACCGACAACAAAATGATCGGGTGCGCTTATTCTAACCAAAAACTCATTTGGAGAGGACCTAGACTCATTTTGAGTGAACAAAAATGGGTACCTATGTTCGACTGGAGCACCTAGGCTCATTTTATCAGAGCCACTCGGGAGACGCCTCGCTCCGAGGCTTCCAGGCACGAGACGGCCCGCTGCGACGCCACTCACAGCTGCCCTCAGAGGAAGATGGCTCCACCAGGAGCGTTTAAGGTTGAATCCCGGACCTTCAGTGGGTGGCCTTCTTTTTTTTCTTCTGTTTGTGTGTGTGTTTCCTCCTTTTTGTTTCTCCTTCATGTGTTTTTTTTTGGTTTAAGTGAAAACTTTGTGTTGTTGTTGTTTCTTTTCCTGTTTGTCTCCTTCTGCTTTTTCGCGTGGTTTCAATTGTTGTTCCTGTTCTTTTTCAGTGGTTCTTTAAAATCAACTACGAAACAATGGAGTTCCCTTTTTACTTATCTACTACGTTCACCCAAGGGGCAGCCAAAGGCGCAAGGGCAATCTGTTTAATTGTCTAGACACCCTATCTACCACCCTCGCAGGATGGTTGCTGGGATTTTCCTTTTGGCCTGAAATGTTGTGTGTCTTGTTTATTTCTCTTAGCAGAGCATGACTACATCGTGTTTAAGAGTGTCCCACGCGCCTTCTGATTACTTTGGCCCTTGTGGTGGACAGTTGCGTTTCGAGCCTCCGTTTTGGCTTTTTCTTGAAGAATGGTTTGCCTTTGTATTTTCTCCTTCTTTGTCTTCTTTTCCTCGTTCTTCTGCTTCTTCTTTTGTTTAAAGTTGTTCTTTTGACACGTCTTTCTTTTGTCTTTTTGATTCTTGCTGGGTCTTCACATACTCGGATGGCAGAGGTTTGACAAGATTGGCCGGCATAGCGTGGGAAACATGATGCATCGGCCAGCCATGCAAACGACATGTATTTCTGCTGGATAACGTACCCCAGGATATGAATGTGGGGTTGTCCCTGGCTTAGCGGGGATTCATCACGTTTGGAGGTACACCCCCCTATTAGTAGGATGGGTTTACTAGTTTGGGGTCAACGAGCTGCGACAGCTAGTGGATCAGTTGAAGGATCACTTCAATCTTGAGTACCTGTTGCCCCTGAGTTTGGCATGCGCCCCGTAGGTGTGCGAGGGATTTGCCAGGATGCTTATATTTGGTACTCCCATGGGGGAAACGCACGTGGCGGATCAACCGAGGATTGGGATGCAATTTGTGATATTTCGCGGCAAGTACCTTCACCGTAACATGGAGGAGGTCCATTGAGAGAAAGAACCAGGTTAGGAAACACTGGCTTAAGCAATCAGACCCTCTTTTCTATGAAAACGTGGTTTACAATGTTATTTTGTGACCAGAGGATTAAACATGTTTAAGATCTGGTGTGGCCCGACCCTGGCTGAAGCCGAGCAGTTGGAGTCTTTGATTTGCTCCAGGAACTTCCGATGGAGTCTATCCCAGGGTGCGGTTTGGCACTTGGCCTTTCTCTCGCTGTACCTCATGTATGTGGTCATTGCCCTCATCAACTCGCCGTTTGGCCTGCGAATTACACGTGCCTGCAGGAAAAAAATGATTTTAGGGCCTTTCACCCAGGGAACCCCTTTAAATGTGATAAAGCAGTCACCCTTGTTGATATCATAAACAGCTCTTGGGCAGCGGTCAATATTTGTCATCTAGTGTAGTAAGGAGGATGACATGGGTCACAGAGTCACAATCACTGATTTACCATTGCCATTAGAACATTAGAAAATATGCCTTGCTCACCAACATTTCCATGTCAGTTGCGATCACAATGAACATCAGTGCTCACACGCATCATACACGTGCAAACATGGGTATGGTTGGTAATTGGTTGAGCCCCTTGATAGACATCCCAAGTTGGTTGGAGCCATGTTCGAGTGGTTCAGGAAAAATCCGCGCAGCGGCTGGACGGCAGATCTAGCCTCAAGCTTCACATTCACCTGGCCACGACTCTTGAAATTCCCGGGACTTGTAGCAGGGTTGCTCGAAGCCAGGTTTTGGTCTTCTTTTCCATCCAAGGGGCCCAAAAAAGGTACCACTTTTTTGAGCCACAGCCATTCATCAAACGCAAAGGGTGGGAAAATGGCTTGGTGGCCTGTGCTCCTTTTCCATTTCGGGAGCCTTGCCGGGTGCCTTTTTATGCCATAGCATCCCTCCGATAAGCGGGCTGTGAGGGGAATGTTCCAGCGCAGGGGAAGCCAGGCGGAGCCATAAGCAGCCAGGCCGAAGCCATAACTTGGCTTCCAAAGCCCCGGAGCCGAGGTGCAACAAGCGGTGCAACTCTTTAAAAAAAGTTGGGGCAACGTGTTCGAAAAAAACCCTCAGTCCAGTTTGAGCCGAAAGTCCAGGGATCATCGCGATTTGTGTCAGAATGAGGGGTCGACCCAAGAAGTGGCAGCTGTCCTTTTTCCTGTTTTTTGTTTCCGGTTCCCCGTTGCCCCCTCCTAAAGGGCACACTCCACCAAATGCACCCAGTTGGCAGGGCTCCTTAAAAGATACATTTTGCAACCATTTGAAACATGTTGTTTTTTCCACCAAAATAAAGGGAAACCACCATTTACAAGGCAATGTTCAGGTGTATAATGTAAGGATCCCTGTTTGGGCGAGCCTTTTTGGGGGGTGCTTTGAGAACAGAAGCGACTCCGCTCATTCTGACTGAATAATCCCCCCTGACTGGAGGCAGACATTCAACCGGCAAAGGCCCTTTGAGGGGTTCCATGCGTGAAACAAAATAATTTGCCCACATGGGTCTTTCTCAAAATCTGTGTCCCCCCCATGGTGTCCTTTTGGTTTCCCTTTGCCAACCAAAAATGTGTCCGCATTCCATTTTGAGATCCGGGTCCCGGATCACTCGACTCGAGGCTGGTGATGTACCTGAAGACTGACGTGGGCATGGCTCTTGAGCTGTGTGGGCTCTACTCCTCGGCAGTGTTCCAAGCCTCCATCGCAGGCTTCTCGACACAGATAGGTCTGTTATCAAAAATGGCCTTCAAAACCAATAAGATCCCATTTTGGTTGGTAGGTGCGCCACCCATTTGGGATGTGAACTGGGGGTACGATTTGGATTTTTACCCATGGCCAAATAGGTAGCCCAAATGGGTTGCCCTGGGAAGTGGAAACATGTACCAAGACCTGCGCTCCATATCCTGGTGCTGTAATTTTGACCCACACCCAAATGGGTCTGTGCATTGTTGAGCTCTTGGGTGGCTTTAAAGGGAAACGAAAGAAGACCATTTTTGGCCTATTCTGACACATACCCAAATGACTCACTAGATCGGCTTGCAATGTTGCACTTGGCTTGATGCGGGCACCAGCAATCATGTCAACTATTCTTCTCTTACATCCGACTCTTTGGGGCGCGGGGGGGGGAACCTCGCAAATCAACTCCCCGAACCAACCGGACGCCCCCGCCATTTCTGTGGGGTTCGGATCGGAGTTTGGAGGGCCGCAAGAAGTAGCGAAGAACCGCAAACGGACATGAGACCGTTTATGTCAAAGTTGAGGGCCACCCACCATGGACTTGTTTTTTTGGGTGTTTTTTTGGCCACCCAACATGGACTTTCTTGGTTTTTTGCGTTGTTGGTTGCCACTTAAACCACCCAAAAAGGGCATTCTCCTCCAACCATGCCGGTCCATAGTCTGTTCCGCTTCGGTAGGGAAGCTGGTCATGGGCACTTTGATGGACGGCCGCTTCCAGTCTGTCGCGGGCCTGGTGGGGTGTTTGGTGCTCTTGCTGGGCACTCTGCTGCCTCTGGACATAGCATCCGGCGGCCAGGCACGGACGTTTGACGAAAAAGTCATGGGCCGCTCTTGGGGTTCCCCTGAAACCCATCCTCCAAATTGTGAGATCCGCAAAAATGTGCTCTGTGTGACCAGGCCTTCAAGCCAGAGCAAGCCTGATCTGTGATCTCTTTTGCACTTCTGTTGTAATTTCATGTTCACTAAATGTGGACCTGAATCAAGCATACTCTTATTGGTTGGAAGGCAACACTGAGCGAGAAAAAATATAAGGGGCTAGAGAAGTACTTCTCGTATACTCCCTCCATGTGTGACTAGACTTAGCTGTTCAGCACCCCACAACCCTTTGCCAATTCAGGCCCTTGCAATTCTTTGCTAACTTGCGGAGCAAAGGCTTCGATTCCTACCCTTCAGATCCTGAAGATGCTTCGCAATGTGCGGAGAT